CCCCTTCCCTTATTTATACGTTGTATGGTTTAAAGAATCCCAGTCTTCTATTTCCACCCAAACATTCCTCCTGAGTTCCAGGCTCCTGCACCCCACGGGCTGCTCAGTATCTCCACTTGGAGGTCTCCTATGTACTACAAACATAGCCTGTCCAAAACTAAACTCTAAAAATGACCCTAGATTTTTTTTCTCTCTCTCTCATCCTCCACATCCAAATAGTTCCTAAATCATGTCAATTCTACTTCCCATTAGCTCTCATTCCTCATACCACTTCCTTATTTAGGCCCTTGTCAATTTGTATCTATATTTTTATAGCCTTCTCCCAGCTGTCTCATTGCCTCTACCTTCTACAAGTGGGGTAATATTTCTAAATCATAACTCTGATCACGTAGCTCTTTGGTTGAAAACTCTTTAATAACTTCCCTTTCCTTCCAGATGGATTCCATATCTTCTACGGCCATTCTAGTCCCTTCAAAGTTTGTCCTTTTCCTATCTTTGTCTATTCTCCTCTGTGCCCTTTCTTCTTTTGCAACCTGTAGTGTCATCTTCCTTTATGATCTCAAAATGCCGCACATTGCAAATGTTCTCCCCAAGGCCCAGGTGAGCTTCCCCACCTTCAGGACTCAGCTCAGACCCCAGGTCTCCCACGAAGCCCTTGCCGGTGCTCTCGGCACAGCACGAGAGGTGTCATCCTCCGCAATCCTATGAGCTTATGCCTCCTGCAGACAGAGCACATTGTTTTATGACTCCTATTTTCCTTGTCTTTCTGACCACTGCCCTGTGAATATTTTTTGAACCTCTATTTTATCATCATTGTCTAGCACAGTTTCTGGCATGTAGCATGTAATTGTTAATTATTTAATGAATGAGTCAACAAATGAATATACTTCATAGATGAGAAAATGAAGACGGGAGAAGAAGTGACTTTTTGAAGGCTAGAACCACCTGCGCCACCACTAGAGGGCTCTAGACTGAGCTCCTTAGGAGTCACTTAGGGTGTGGCCACATGCCAAAGGTGAAAAAGATTGCTGCTCTGTCAATGATCTCATTTCATCCATTTAGCCGTTCAAGTAAATTGTTCTCTTAGCAATGTGCTGGTGTCAGTTGATACTGGTTATGAAACAACTGGGGGGAAAATGGCATCAATTGGACATCCTGGAATCCAGTCTTTAAAGGAATCAGCTCTGTTGATTTTTATCCCAAATTTCCTGGCAAAAGAGAGAACTCATTGTAGGATTTTCGGTAATTGTCTCGTGCTATAAACAAGAAAATCTGGTACAAGCTAACAGGCAAGATTAGACTTTCCCATAGTTTTCTAAATGCATGATGCTGCTTTCAAGACAAGGTAATTGTTGTCTCAGAGGAGGAATTTGAATGATGAAGGCCTTTATGAAAGGCTTGCCAAATGTCTAGGAGAGAAGAGGATTACACCACATCCTGGAATGAGTCCTCAGCTGTAGATCAAATGAGTTTACTGAAGAATTTAGAAGATTAAGAAATACGCGACCATATGAAAGAGTTTATAATATTCAATTCCACAGGTTTTGATTGCCAGAGTGTTTGGGAGAGAGAGGTACTTATTTTATTTCAAGTATTAGATTTAGAATTTAAACTCAACTATGGGTCTGACACACAGTGTTCATTAAATCCTGAGTACACGGTATTTAAAAGAAAAGTGGTTTATTATCTTTTGTAATATAATAAAATACCAATTTGTTAGACTACCAAAAAAGGGGGAAAATTCTATGCAAAAAAGAAAAGGTTTTTATTCATAGGTCAGCTCTTGTTTAAAAAGAATTATTAGACTATATCATCCGCTCATTTTTGTATAAGAATTGTGGTTTATGGAAACTCTTTGTCTTTTTGATTGTGGGATAACTCCTCTAGTGGATTAAATATCTTTTGTCTGATACAAGTATTATCAAAACTCTATCTTGGGGTACATTTTTCATCAGCTTTTGTATTTTTTTAAGTTATTCACATAATAGATGACATGCATACCACCATACTGCAAAAAGTCCTATGAAGCACCTTGTCATTCTTACAGGAATTAGTTAAGGGAAGCATTGAAAAGAAAGGTGAAATACCTGGCTCCCCACATTCTTCTATGCCACCTTCATGTTTAATTTCCCTAAACATAATGTACTTTAGCAAGAGGACTGCTATTTCCCAAATGGTTAGAAATGAACAGAGTTCTTCAAAATCAGTCCTTTCAAGATCATATTAACCAACACTTTAAGAAAATGAGCTTATACAAAAATCAACCTGCTTCTAATTCACATCATTCAATAGTTTCACAAACTATTAAACATTTATTTAAGGCCTACTACGTGCCTAACACTGTTGGGAGCTAGGCTTGCAAAAATGAATACGATGTGGTCCTTGCCCTTCAAGTATTTAAGTTTAACTCACAGAAAATGTGAATAGAGGAAGAAAACTTAGAAAAGATAATGCCAGGGTGGTTTTCTTCTGGAATGGACAACTGAAGCATAAAGGCTGAGCCTTAAAAACAAGGAGGAATTCCTTCTCATCATGACACGTGGATGAGCCCGGAGGACGTTATGCTGAGTGAAATAAGCCAGTTCACCGAAAGACAAAGACTGCATGGCTCCACTTTTTGAGATTTCTAAAATGGTCAGACTTATGGAAGCAGAGAAGACACAGGGGCGGGAGTACTGGGGAGTGTTATTCAACAGGTATAAAGTTTCAGTTATGCAGGATGATTACATCCCAGAGATCTGCCCTACGACATAGTGCCTATAGGTAGCCATGCACTATTGTGCATTTCAAAACTTGTTAAGAGGGTAGATTTCATGTTAGGTGTTCTTACCACACACACGCACACACGCACACACTAAGGGACACAAGGGAAGGCTGGGAGGCGCTGGGTATGTCAGTTACCTTGGTTGTGGTGATGAGATCACAGGTGTTTGCATCTGTCCAAACTCATCACACTGTACACATTAAATACGTGCAATTCTTTGTGTCTCACTTATACCTCAATAAAGCTGTTTCTATAAAAGTTGAGAAGGTCTGTCCAGTAAAGCAAATAGAGGGGAAGGAGAGAGCAAGCTAGGAGCTGCTGACAGAGGAAAGCAGCCTGAACAAAAGCTGAGCCCCGGGGAGTGGGGCAGGCGGCGGCCAGGCAGCTCTGACCACAGCACTGACACGTCGGGTCCAGCCCGGGCAGCGTCCTGGCAGAACTGCTATGAGGTCCACATGTCCCGAGAAGCCAGGACAATCTGTGAAGAGCTCTGAGTGGAGAGTCCCAGGGCCAGATTTCCTGATAGGTCTCTCTAGTGGCACAGTAGTTGGAATGCTGAGAGAGAGTGAGAGCCGTTGCAGCTATCATAGTATTTACTAGTCATTTGTATTTTATTACAACTGACGTAGAGCTTAAGAGACGTCCCCCTTTACTTGTGGGCATTTTTAGATCAAAATGTTGTTGTTTTTCATTTGTTTGTCTTCTTCCACTTTGTACCTTATGTGAGATGAGCCCTCCCCCCTTCACAACAGGAAGGAAGGTAACAAGAGAAAGAAGGAAAGGTTGGTAGGCACCAAGATCCTTCCGACTGAGACTGGGAGATGGTGTCTGACTCACCCTACTGGCTGGCGTCTGAGATTCCTAAAGCATGTGTTAGAATGTCTTATGACAATGTGAACTATAAAAAAATATTAATTTTCTCTCTTATCAAGCAATAATCAAATAACACATAATGTCCCTCAAATGAGTGAACAGAATAGTATATAATTTTACTATATATGTTTGAGCAATTAGCCTTCAGAAAAGTTAAGGGAAAATTTTTTATGATTTACTCTGACCAGTGGGATTGTCTGAAAAGAACCAAGGAATAGGAGTTTTTAGGAGGCATGGATCCTTTGATAAGAGCATACTTTGCTCAATTTCTTCAAGAAAATGTTCTCCCCTCCAGGGCTTTAGAGATGTTCCCTACATCAAAGGTAGTGTTGTTATTCTGGGGAGTGTCAATGAAGATTTTTTTAAAATAGAAGAAAGAAATCTCTAATGGCCTGAAGCAACTCAAATAATTAAAACATTTTAACCAACCATTCTATTTGTGATTGTTCTGAAGCCAGATTTGTATTTTCTCACTTTCTTAAGAAACATTTGTACCAAAAAGATTAGTTGTTTAGAAAGAAGAATTTCCCACAACTTTGTGTGTGTGGAAGGACAATCTGTTTCACCCTGAGAGAGTACATTCTCTAGGGGAAAGAATCTAATAAAGGAATATTTACTAAAAGTAGATCTTTGAACTAATGTTATTAGATTTTCTTTATGAAGTATTGTTTCATCAAAGTCATATATATTACTCCAATTTAGCTTCCCATACTTAATAGCAACTTTTCCTCTCTTTGAGGAAGGTTTAGTTGAAACTTAGACACATGTAATCTGCATACATAAAGTTATTCTTATTGAGATGCTGGTAATTGAGGGGCAACTAACTGGTTCACAGAGCTGGCCACAGCCCTTCATCACTTTTTATAAAGTATTGGTCCAATTTCCTGTTAATAAGCAGAGCTGATCTTACCTATACAAAGAGAAAAGCTCCCAAATTCCCCCAAGTAACTTCTGTCATCTTGTTTTGAATGAATATTCTTCATTGGAGGGAAACCATTAAGTAGCAATGTCTTGGACTGATGATACCTGCAAATACACTAAGATTATGATTTTTAAAATGATTTATTTATTTTTGGCTGCATTGGGTCTTTGTTGCTGCGCGCAGGCTTTCTCTAGTTGCGGTGAGTAGGGGCTACTCTTCCTTGTGGTGCGTGGACTTCTCATTGCAGTGGCTTCTCTTGTTGCAGAGCACGGGCTCTAGGCACGCGGGCTCAGCAGTTGGGGCTCACGGGCTCAGTAGTTGTGGCTCGTGGTCTCTAGAGCGCAGGCTCAGTAGCTGTGGCACACGGGCTTAGTTGCTCCACGGCATGTGGGATCTTCCCGGACCAGAGCTCAAACCTGTGTCCCCTGCAGTGGCAGGCGGATTCTTAACCACTGCACCACCAGGGAAGCCCCTAAGATTATGATTGAGAGCAGTTTTCAGAGAGGAAGCACGAGAGCATTAAGCCTCTCCCTGGGGAAGGAAATAGCAGTAACTCCTGAGGAAACATATTCCACCGAAGAGAGAGAAATGGACTGGGAGAGGTGATTACAGCCCTAGCTCTGTGTTCGGTGCTCCACTGCCAGCGCATTATGTAATCCTCACAACTATCATGAGAAGTAGAAATGATGCTCATTTTATAATGGGGTAAAGGTTGCTTAGAAACATCGAGTAACTTGCCCAGGATCACACAAGTATAAGTAGGGGTTGTAGACTTGAGACCCAGAAATGGACCGCTAAACCCACCTTTATTCTCTCACTCTCCAGTAAAAATTTCTTTGTCTTTCAAGCCTTCCAGTTATCTGAGTAGCATAAAGGAATGGAAAATAGTGGCCTCGTGTTAGGATGATGAGGCTTCGAGAGTCTCGAGACTTGAAATGCCTTAGTTTATTTCAGAGTATTCCAGGTTTTCATTCCTTTAGAAGGGAGAGCAGAGCAGCTGGCAATGAGGCGGAACAGAAGAGTTTAACTAATGAGCCATTAAAGGCGGCATGTCTTAGCCCACCCGTTTGACACTTCCGTCACTTCTCATTCATCATCCCTGCAAACGTGTTTATTAAAAACCACATTAATTGGAAAATGTGTTATTATTCCTTTCTGTTGCAGGCAGGGCCCTTGATTTCCTTTCTTTTTTTTTTCTCTGGCATTGTTTTTGTGCATTGTTTCATTATTGCAGTAAGAGAATTGAGCGGTGGGGCTCACGTGTGTCACAGAAATTCACATGATTTGTAATGTGGACCAGGAGCTCCCTCTACTGTTTCCACTGGGAAAGCTCTAGAAGAATGACTGTTCAGCCCTCAGGAGGCTGTCCAGGGTCTGGAGATTGCTCAGTGTTCGAGGCTTAATTATAAATCTACATGATTTTCAAAGTTTATTTTCAGGATTTTGTTGCATCTTATGCTTATCCTGTATTTTAAATACAAATGCTAGCTCATCGACAGTCATTTTCAATGTCAACCGGATGCCCTCTAGAAGTGAAAGCCCTTAGCTTTCTCTAAAATGCTGACTTATTGTAACACGCTGATAAAACTCTACAGCGTGAGTTTTTGTGGGAGCTGACTCTGGTGGAATTTGTGCTTCTTTTCTAAAGGAACCATAAGATTGAAAACATATACAACCATGTTGTTTCCATTTTCATTTTAATTTCAGTGTAGAACTTCTTTCACCTTTAATGCATGAGGCATTGCTCAGTCCTGAAGGTTGTGGTTACAGAGCAGGATACATGGTTAAAAGAGTGAATTTAGGATGTGAAATTGAATTCATTTATCCAACACATACTTACCTCGATCACCTAGCATGTGTTAATGACTGTTACAAACCTTGAGTATACAGTGGTTTATGAAAAAAAAAAAAAAAAAACAGACAAATTAAAGCTAAGGTCTCGGGCTTCCCTGGTGGCGCAGTGGTTGAGAGTCCACCTGCTGATGCAGGGGACACGGGTTCGTGCCCCGGTCCGGGAAGATTCCACATGCCACGGAGCGGCTAGGCCTGTGAGCTGTGGCCGCTGAGCCTGCGCGTCCGGAGCCTGTGCTCCGCAACAGGAGAGGCCGCAACAGTGAGAGGCCCGTGTACCGTAAAAAACAAAAACAAACAAACAAAAAAATAAATAAATAAAGCTAAGGTCTCTACCTTCAATAACTTACACTCTATCATGTGTGTGTAGGGTGAGGGACCGATGGTGAAGAGGCAATTCCATAGGTAGACAAAACAATGTCAGCTTAATATGCAGTACTGCAGGGGAATAAACTGGGTAGCGTGAGAGTGGTTTGGGAGGAAGAGTTGTTGCCCTAGTTAAGGTGGTCCAGGTGGCATCTCTGAGCATCTAGGTGACATTACTTGAGAAGGAGCCAGCAGTGTGAGGCCCAGAGCAAGAATTTTCCAGCCACAAAGATCAGGAAGTGCAAAGGGCCTGAGGTGGGAGAGAGGTTGCTGGATTCAGTAAACAGAAAGGAGCTAGGAGAACAGTGCCAGAGGAGGCTTTGGAGCTGAGTGGTCTTATGAGAGTGGAATTGGGGAGCAGGGTCGGGGGGAGAATAAGTGGCAAGGAAAATAATCAACTGGTCACATCTCCCTTTTTTAGGTCTTTGTGTTTTTATCTCAGGCGGTTAGATTTTTATTTTGATGTGATGAAATTATTATTCCTAATGATAATTCTAAAGGCAGCATCATTGTAGCATATCGTTTTTAGTCTTTGCATGGACAGGGAACAGACTTGTTTGCTGAGAAAAGAAGGAAACAGACAAAGCTTTGACAGTTGCCCATTTCACTTCAGCCCAGCCTGAATCCAGGGGACACCATGTTTTTCCTTGGAGACGGAGAATCTCATCACATACAAGTCTCATTCTTTCCTCCCCACAGCTACACCTGAGGCTTCCTTTCTGATAGGCTACAGGTTGATATGAGCAGTTATAACTATGAAAGTCTATGCTCTGGAAACACCGTGGAACTAATGCCTTCCTGCATCTGTGCCCTGTTATCCATCACTATCCCCACCTTTTCCGTCTTCATCTCCAGCCTTATTTCCTATGCACTGAGGACCCATGGTGCAAAGTTAATGTTAGCAAGGCCCACCCCTAAGGGAAGTTAGTCCCCAAGACACATTTTGGACTGCTCAATAAAGTGGATGACAAGAATGTCCAATTAAAACATTTGACTTCTTGCTAAAATACTCTGTGTGACTATATGCATTTTGAGAACCATCATGCATCAGTGGGAATCCAGTTCATAGTCTGAACATCCGTCTACAAGCTTTGAATTGATCAGGGTTTTCTGTTTCTCAGTTTTCCTTTCAGCAAAGAACTTTAGTCTCTTTGGTCTATTAATGGCTAAAGGCCATGTACTGTACTGATATCTTTGGAGGAAAAGAACCTAACCATTTATCTGTGTCAACGGGAATAGTAATTTTATTCATAATAAAAATAAGATGACTTCCTCAGAGTTAAAAATAAAGATACCTAAGACCTATAAAATGGAGGCATGGCCAGTTAATCATTTTTATTGCCACTCGTCCCCCACTGGGGCCACGGTACCAGACAAAACAGCTGTTGCCAACATTACTAACATTCCAGTGTCACCTTGCGTGGCCACGGAATCCGTAGACATGCCTGTGAGGCAGCTGGGGTCTCAGGTGGAGAATGTGAAAACCAGCACTTGGGCTCCACTCCCTAATTACTTCTCTTTTTTTTCTCCCAATGAGCAGCAGCAGTGAGACATTATTAGCCACTTTCTGACTGCCTGAGTTTTTTACTAATTATAGGTACACTTGGGAAGAAAAGGATTTTATGTTCTTACAGCCACTGACTCCTTTTCTTCATTTGGGGTCGTGTTATTGAAACCAACTATTAAGACTTCTGAATGACAGACGTTGTGTATAGCAATGATGGGACAGAATATTTGAAATCCTTGATATATGGTCACCAAACTTGTTATTGGGCCAGTGCATAGATTCAATACTGATTCTTTGTGGGAAGTAAACAGTAAGGTTTTAATAAATCTGATTGGCCTTTGAGAAATATTCAAAAAGGGAGACTTGTTTCCTAAATAATCTTATAATTTGTATTTGCTGATATAGTTTACAAAAATATCTCCATACAGCATTTAATTTTACCGCCGTATAACTCTGTGAAACAGGCAAGAAAAGATTATCTCCATTTTAACAATAAGAAAAGGCTGGGCCTCCAGAAGTAAGGGGCTTAGCTAAACCCCTTCAGTCAGTTTTCTCTTCACAGCAGCTACAACCTGGTAGGAAATTGTTTCCATCCAAGGAGAGACTAAAAGAAGTTATGTGAGTAGAGAAGCAACAAGTTTTCAGCATTATCCGGGGAACCTGAAACATGAGAGGAAATTCTGTAGAAAGTAAGCCTGGAAGGAGCTTCAGTTATATCTGTAATTTCGTTAAAAGGAAAAGAGATCTAAAGTAAATATGGCAGACGGTTAGGACCTGACAACACTGGAGTGTGGATTCACGGGGATTTATCCTCTTATATTCTGTACTTTTCAACATGCTTGAAATATTCCAAATTTCTTTGACAAAACAGGAAAAGCATCCTGTGGGATGGGCTGAGGTTAATATCACTAATTACTTCTTCACCGGCCTGGAGTGTCAGCATCTTCTCTTTTGCCTGAAATCCTTTGCAGGATGGGGCAAAGTGTTTTAAAAATGAAACCATTCAGTGTTCTTTCCTAGAACTTCCCTGAGTGTACCCTCTGTAACCGTGCGGTTCAGTTGGGCCAAGACATGTCACTTGCATATTTATCGTGAGTATGACCTACAGATCGGAAGGAAACCTTGATGGCCGACATTTGAGTTGAAAGTGGAGGCTCCAGTCACCACAGAATAAAACGTCACTTTGCTTTTGTCCAGAATGTCCCCAACCATTCGAGTTGTGTATACATGCCCTTGGCCTCTACGTAACTTGGCAGCATGCAAGCCAGTGCCATCAGCCTGGCTGTCTGAAGTCTCTGCGGTTTGCCTGGGAATCACGTTTTCTCTGTCTAGGAAGCACTGTCATCCTACCAACACTTGTTTGTCTAAACTTTTTTATTTTATATTGGAGCGTAGTTGATTAACAATGTTGTGTTAGATTAACGCTTCGTGTTAGCGAAGTGATTCACTTATACATATACATGTATCTATTCTTTTTCAGAATCTTTTCCCATTTAGGTTGTTACATACTATTGAGCACAGACGTAGAGAAGAACTTATGGTTACAGGGGTGGGCGGCGGAAATGGTGAGGGGAAGGGATAGTTAGGGAGTTTGGGATCGACATGTACCAACACTTTGAAAGAGAGTGAATATTATCAGTTACATAAGTGGAATCTCAAAGCACTGATAGGTGCAGGCTGTGTAAGCCAACCTCCCTTCAGATTTGAGAGGTGTATTGAGAGATTCCTGAGGTCAGACAGGGGAGTGCAAGCTCAGCTGTTCCCCAGGTATGGTTTCTGTTGATGGTGAACTTTGGGCGATGCCACTGGATACAGATCATTTGTTTCGCAATCTCCATCCTTACTAGTTCTCATGCCCCGCTGGCTTTAATCACCTCATGCACGGTCAGTGATGTGGCTTCGGTGGGGAGGCAAGGCCCCTCTAGAGGCTGCTGCCCCTTATATTACAGGAAGCTGACACGTAACATTTTTGCTTTTGCAGGACATACTGAGGGGAAATGAGTATGAAACATTTTATGGATGGATAAGCAGAATCGCAGTGTTAGGGGAGGAATCATTTTTTTCTGACTCTCATACCATGGAAATCAGTCATCAATGTCCCAGCAAGGCACTCTATCAAGAATGCAATGGGCTTTATAACCAATTAGATGGATTTGTTTCATGGTATCAGGGAAAATAAGCTCCTTTAGAAAATGATTTTTTCTTCTCCCTTGGAAGGTAAAGTGTTAAAAACTTCTGAGCCTCACAGCATAATGTAGAAAATCTGCTTTTATGAAATGGATTAATTACACCCATTGAATGCATTCACTGTCACAGCCTCATCCTCCCACCCCTGTTCCAAAATGACAAGTGAAACCAGCGGCTGTGTAATTTTGGAAAACAATCAGGTCACATATTGAGTATTTTGCTTATTCATATAACCATAAACTGCCTCTGCTTGAGTTCCCTCAATTACACAGCTCAGTGTGCAGGCCAGAAGAGACAAGCCCAGCTCCAGTGAGCACTTCTGGAATACACAGAGGGATGCATTTGAAAAATGTCCAAAGTGGCAGATGTGAAAACTTCTCATTCAAGACCCAGAAGCGCTGCTTCGCTGCGATCCTTCGCCTGTTAATCACGCTGCTTCTGAACTTCTGAACCAGGGCTGCTGGCAATATCTCATATAGAGATACTTAGGAGCTACTGATCTTTCAAAGTAGAGTGCACGTGTATGCCTCTGGGGTGGGGCGCGGGGGACCTGGCTGAGACAAGAGACGATCACTGCTGCTCAGAATTTCCAGAGCTTCACCAAGATTAAGCGTTGGCTGCTGGCTTCTAACAAAAACTGCTCTTACCTTTTTGAGGGGAAGTCCCCAGAAGATGCCCTTGACCAATGCTTGAACCAGTGTATTGCTGTATCACTTAAATCCCTCAGATCCCACATGGCAATCCACAAATCGCTCTTCCACAGGAACACAATGGCACAACTGTAGTTTGTTTGAAGGGTCTCTCGTCTTCTTACTAAGGGTGACTACTTTCCCATGACCGTTCATCCACTGCAATTTCACGCGCGTAGGAATTTCAGCCTATCAATATGATCCCTAAGCAGTCTTACTCTCTTGCTTCTAGTCTTTTTCCCACCAGCTCTGACCATGTGTGTGTTTGTTTTTCTTCTACCATCTCCTAAATGCCAAGACTCTACCCCTCATTTGGTATCATTTGAACTTCAAACGTTACTTAAGGTGCCGATCAAGATTGCCAACTTCTTTCCTTTTCCCTCTCAGAAGTCTCCCTCTCACCTCTCTCTCATCCAGGCCCTCCTTGATTTTAACATTTCTTGTATCTGCCTGTGGTTCCTCTCTCTTATCCTCACCCTCCTCCCATTCTGGTCGCTCTCCTCTTGATCTCTTCTTGTCCAGTCTCTGAAAAGTTGCGTCTACACTGCGTCCCGGAGCTCCCTGTGCTTGGCCCTCGTAGATTCTGTCCCTCATTAATAGATCTGCAGTCTTTTACCCTTGAGTGCCCTACGTGATGTTTTTAACCAGCTTTAAGATGATTGATTTTGGTTTTTTTTTTTTCTCTGTCATCCCTCTCACTGTGAGGCAGATAAAGGAAAGAGTTAAAATATCAAAGATACAGCGTCAGGCCATCTTGGTTGAAATCTAGCTGTTGTCTGCTAGTTGTATGACCTTGGGTGAGATAGTAAACTTTTTGTTATAAGTAAAATAAGGATAATGCCTACCTCATTGGACTGCTGTAAAAGCAAAATGCAATAACATACGTACCTGCCACACAGTTATTACTTTCCAAGGGTTACTATTGCCATTTATTAATATTCTTATCATTATCCCATTTTATCATTCTCTTCCATCTGCTCATTATGTTTTACTTTCTTTCCCAGGATTTAATCCAGGACCTCCCATTTCTAAAGCAAAAGTGTTGATACCTTTCCAAGTTCTTTGATTATCATCCTCCTGTAGCTTTCTCCTCTGAGTCCCACTTTTTACAATCAAAGTTCGTCTTAAGACTTAACTACATTTCTCAGCGCCTCATGCCAGAAAGTGAGTGCCAAAGGCCTGGGGGGCTGCGAAGCCACAGTCTTCAAGATCTGCACTCCCCCCTTTTCTGTACCCTCTCCTCCCTCGGTGCTGCCTTCTCCTGTCCCACCTGCCACATAGCATCCCGTTCCTCCTCCCCTTTTTTGTCCCATCCAACTTGCTCTCAGGAAATACTTACTGAATGATTCATAAGAATATATTCAAGTGGAACAACTCTTATACATGGTTCTACCATTTGTTTATTGCGTGATTTGGGGGTAGATCTATCGGTTTTTCCCTGTCAGATGGAGAACATAATCATACCCATCTCACATAGTCTTTATGAGAATCAAATAAGGTGATGTGTTTTGCAGTCACATTACCCTGCCATCTAAGAAAATATAAGTGAAAACGTATTTAGAATTATGCTGAGCTGTATGCATATGAAACATTAGTATTACATCTCCCAAAACCCAACACCAAATAAACCAGTCTTTCTATATGAAGTTTTAGGCAGGCATAAACCAGAAGGTGGGTGAGACATTTTCAGAAATAAGAGCCCCTTCCCAGGAACCTTAAATTTCACCTAATACGTGCTATCTGGCCCACATCCCCACTGTAATCCCATAAAGGACAACTTGAGGTCTCTGTGTTGAAGTATAACCATAGTATAAACACTTAATGAATCCCCTCCTTGCTTCAGAAATCGTATTTTGCAATTTGAGAGTTTTCAGCAATTTTGGGGGGGAGGGGTTGGAGTGCTGGTATCTCCTTAGCCACTAAAACTTTGTAGCAGAAACCTTCTCTGAAAAACAATCTATTCTAAAATTACAACTTTTAAGTTAATTAAATCCCAAGAGACAATGAAAAAACTCATTTAGAGCAAATATTTAAGATAAATAAAAGGATCTGTGTTTAAAAGAAAAAGAAATTGATTTCCCAAATATTTTCTAAAGAGTACTATTGATTTTTCTCTCAGAATTGGAGACAACTTTCCATGTTGTAATTCTGGTCAAAAATCCATCCATAAGCTCTTTTCTACTAACTGGAGCTCACTGCAGCTTTGTTTTCAGTTATTTAGCCAGATTCTTAGATTAATCTGCATCTGTTGGCCCTGTTTTCTGTGAGTTTGGAAGCAGCAAGACCCCTGCTCGGTTTGCTACCATTCCTAACTGAAATCAAAACGAACGGGCAAGAAATTGGCTATACCCTCAAAATTTTTCTTGCAAAAGATTCTATTGAATTCAGCAAATACTGGGGTGGGGGTACTATATGTTATGATAAGATAAAAAAGATTGAAACTCCTATCTTCAAGGCGTTTTCATTCCAACTGGAAAGATAGACATGTACTCAAACCACCATAAATCAGGGCTTCCCTGGTGGCGCAGTGGTTGAGAGTCTGCCTGCTGATGCAGGGGACGTGGGTTCGTGCCCTGGTCCAGGAAGATCCCGCATGCCGCGGAGCGGCTGGGCCCGTGAGCCATGGCCGCTGAGCCCGCGCGTCCAGAGCCTGTGCTCCACAACGGGAGAGGCCACAACAGTGAGAGGCCTGCGTACCACACACACACACACACACAAAAAAACATAAATCGGTATAAATGTGCTTCACTAAGTTATATATAATGTTATAGATGGAATATATATATCTAAGAGAAAAGCTCATTCTGACACTAACCTTCCCAGCAATTACTGTATTATTGAAACATGCCTCATCTTACCATTTCTATGAATGAGGTTAGGCTTCCTAATAATTTTTTTAATATAAGAAAAATAATTACTGGTCTTTGCCTTTTCTACTAGCCATTAGAAAGTTAGAAATATTTCTTGAAAATTAGCCCAAATGACTTTTCAATAACAAACTTTCTATCTCTTCTTATAGCAAAGCTGTTTTTTAGCATGCTTTGAAAAAAGTTGATTAGTGCAACTTTCTTCATAGAGGTTTTTGGTATTTCAAAGGTTGTTAGCAAAGTTAATTGGAAACCCACGGGGCCAGAAGGCAGTTGTGTACAACCTGAAAATATGTATTTGTGAATCCTGAAAGGAGCCCCTAATGAGAGAGCTCCTAATGAAGAGTGCTGGTGTGTGGAGATGAGTGGTACCCAGATGGCGCACGGACGTTCAGTCAGCAGTTACGGGGAGCTGAAGGATGCTTTCAGAGAAGAGGGAGGAAGGAAGACAGTTCAGGAAGGAGGGCCAGAGAGGGAGCAGAGTGGCTGAGGGGCCACGGAGACCTTGATTCAGAACATCAAGGGTGCGCTAAAGCTGACCCAAAGGCCCAGCCCTGACGGTGACAGGGAGCTCGCAGCAAAGACCAGGGAAGGGAAAAAGGCAAAAGTGGGTTCTTCGAGCTCCGCATACTGCGTGAACTGGCTGGAAAATGAAAGTGCGGCCAAGACCAGGACCGAGGAAGCTTTAACACAGAGCTCTTCCCATCCTTTAGACGTTGGGAATCTGTGGCCCAAACTGAAATCTAAGGAGCTGATAATGCAAACAGTTGATCATTTTCACACTAGCATCTGATGACGCTGGTGGCAGACAGGGTATTTCTCTGTCTTACACCTCTAGCAAGATTTTAGCCAAAAAAAAAAAAAACCCTTTTTAAATGCTTTAAACTATTACCGAGCATATATGTTCCCAAGATGAACGTATCTTTAATTCCCTTCATCACACCAGGCATGGTTCTTTGCAGTAGGAGACAACATCAGGGTCTCTCCCCACACCAGGCTGATGGACTGCTCCGGTAATTACACGCGAGCACAGTTGGGTTATGAACAGGTGTGTCTCCCCGGAGCTCATGAGCATTTTACAGCTGTTGTGTAATTGTCTACTTATCCCATTAACTCGGGCGTCCTGTGTCTCCCAGCCCAACACAAATAGAGCAAAGCCGTGGTATCTGTATGGCTGCTGCAGGAGCAGGATACTGGGACAGTTTTCCTTTCCATAACCATAATTTAAAATTTCCTGCAAAAATTATTTTAGGCTGTGAATCTGCTTTTAAGTTACAAGAGTTGAGCAACTAAGAAGTGAGTTTGGGGCCAGGCTGCCTCCATTAAATATTAGCCCTGCCACGTACCAGGGGTGTGACCTTGGGCCAGTTAACTATTTCAAACGCTCATTTTTCTGTATCTTTGAATTGGAAATAATGATGGTACATAACGTCATGGTGTCATTGTAGAGATGAAATGAGCTAGTCTATTTGAAACCCTCGGTGTAATGCCTGGCGCACGATACACACCACCTAAATGTGTGCCGTTATTATCTGGTGGGTTCTTCTGCTCTAGTTGACAGACGTTATCAATTGATCCGCTGTATTCAGGAGCCCCACTTGTTAAGCCTTTCCCTTTTCGCTAAGACGAATGTGTCTGAAGCTAAGTGTACCTACCACATCACTAGTCTTTGATCTAATTGACCTTAT